GCTGGGACCAGTTTTATATAATCATCAAAGGAGCATAATGGCTTGTTAAGTGCGTAGTAATTAGTGTTTGCCAGAACGTGAAATCGGGGTACTATCAGACAAAAAGTATTTGTAAGGCTTCTCCTAAACTCTAATAAGAGAGTAGAGAATGAACAAATGAGGCAAATTATTTATAATCCTCAGCCTCGCCATTCATAGGCATACTGCAGCAAAGAGCGGACTCAGTCCGAAAGACCGAATGTTGGTGATCATCAATATAGTCTCAGGGCTAGTCATTTGTATATCATATCTAGTCTGGGGACCAGACAATGCCAGCTGACAATATTTGGTTGAGCTCAGATAATCCACCTTTTTATACCTAGATTCTATCTTACTGTGCATGCACCTGATCTGGTAAGAAAGACAACGAAGAAAATAAGAATGGCCTAAATCAAATAGAGCAACAGTATTCATTACATTTCCTACACTTTCCAAGCTGATCATATGTCCTACAAGAAAGCAAGTCGCTTGAAAAACAGTCTTATAAACCAAGAAAACAAAGGTAAATACCAGCGAATTTCCGGAGTTTTTCGTCTATTAATCAACACAGGCTGTTCATCCACGCAACTTTTCTGACATCAAAGAGTTTATATCAGATTCTTAGGTTGAGGTATCAATTCGACCCAAGATTAGATTGAGTGCGCTTCAGTTGCATTACCATGATATATTAAATTATCTTAAGCTAATTAGTTTATAGAGCATAATGTACACTAACTGTGACTAGACATTCTTAGACATGATCATTTGGCTTTGTAATTCATAAAAAATTAGAATATCTTGCAAAGAAATAAATAGTGTTTAGCACGTTTAGGTTGATTGCCTTTCGATCTAATAACAGATTAGCAGGCCAAAGCAAGAGCTCAATAATGCAATAAAATGTTAAAGATGCATGCAGCCCACAGGCAGATAAAGCGGTCATCACTGCGACAACTACTCAAAGAAATATCATTCAAGTGACTCTGAACTTGGAATAAACTTTGCTCACACAACATGAATAAATTAGTCCATTTAAGCCTTCACTCCGATTAAGAGAATGCAGATACGAAGAGAAACTTGGTTTCGATAAATCTCTTGAGATGACATTGTTAGGGGGACCTTCATTTCGAATGAAAGTGTATGAAGCAGAGATTCGTTGGTCGATCTGCAGGCGTTTGGCTTTATACGATATTCATGTTGACGCAGTCCACGAGACTTTCTCCCTCCTTTCGGGTGAAAACGTGCTGAGCTCTCGTCCATCATATGATGGACATCATCAGAGCTGGGTGTCATTCTTGTAAAAGTCAAATGTTAACACTAAAGCAAGAACACTATCCGGCTCTATCTTACTTCTTATATAGACTCAATCGAAAATCAGAACCTGAGATTTAACCTTTGACAAGTCTGATTTAGAAACCGTATTGCATATAGACGCTAACACACAAAAATACACATACTCATACAATCGAGCAAAAATAAAAGAATTAGTATGAAAGAAAATTAACCAAACCACTCTATATCGATCTATCTAGGCTTTTAATTTTTAATTTTTTGGCTCGATTGAGTCTATATAAGAAGTAAGATAAAGCCGGATAGTGTTCTTACTTTAGTGTTAACGTAACAAAAATGACACCCAGCTCTGATGTCCATCATATGATGGACGAAAGCTCAACACGTTTCCACCAGAAACGAGGGTGGAAGCCTCGTGGACTGCGTCAAAATGAATATCGTATAGAAGCCAAACGGCTGCAGTACAACGAGTTTCATCCGTCCTCATCTGGTGAGATCGACCAACGAATTTCTTCTTTATGCAGTTTCATTCGAAATGAAGGTCCCTCTAATAAGAGAATGCAGTTAAAACACTCCTTTTTGATCTTCTGCTGTTAAATATAATACACGATAATAGCTATCCAAAATTGCAAGATACTTCAAATAATAATAAATCAAGGCTAACTAATGGTGGTGCAATAAATAAAATTAAATTAATTAGGAAATAAAAATTGGCGCCTGGAAGAGAAGTTTATTAACTTGTTTAATGAATCCCCAATTATATTGGCAGATAAGTGAAGTGCTTAAGTTAACACAAAAATCAGTTTTCTCACATGCGAGGACACCATTGTAGTCCAGCATAGATGAAAAAAGCGTAGTGAGATTTAATGACATCGCGACACCGATTCATTTATTGTGGAAAAGTCTATTAAAATTAAGTAACGCTTGTTAAAATGATTAGTGTACAAAGTAAAATCAGCAGCATTCTACCCGATGAGGTAATATGGTCACCAGAATAAAAGGAATGTATCGAAAAAGGAAAAAACACATGAGGGCTTAATCGAAGATAAAAAGACCAAGATTGTATGACCTATTGTATGGTTGCAGTCTCCTTTCGTTGTATAGAAGTTGATTTACTTTGTTTTTGCAACTTGGTCACATTGGTAGGAAGACCTAGAGACCTAGTATGCATGATAAATTCCAGAGTCGGACGGTTCACGTGGTACATTCCCAGACGCCTCGCCGACATCGTCAGTGAGCTTTGTCAGTCTTAGCACCACACCACTACTCGTCAAAGAGACAACAAGTGAAGCCGATCCTTTAACCAATTGTCTGCCAAACAATCGTGGTATCACTCCTTCCGCCCTGGGCTAATTAACAATCCTATATTCTTGTATCACCCCTTCACTATTACAATTTATTATTTAAATGTGGCGTGCTGTGCGGATTTCATGAGAACTCTCCACACCCCCACTGGCCTTCTCAGCCCCTCACTCCTCTTCACTCTGGCGCAGGGAATATCGGTCAGAGTTTGTCATATTATTCCGCAATCCTCTTTCCATAGGTCCTATCAGAGTCTCCATCTTACCCCATAGGATACGCCTCCTACCTTCCTGATCGAGGTACTTCATTCGACCCTGTTCACCATATCTATACTACTCGAAGCGCTATTTCCTACACTGTCTAAAGACTTTGATGGCACGCCTACTCCCGCCTCGCTGAGTAGGCCCCTAAAAATCAGGATTCCCAAACTGGATGGGAGACTAAAGAGACCGAGTAGTTATCATGGTCATGCCTTTGCTTCATGGGCTACGTCAATGATCAAACAAATCTACTCTTAGCCAACTAACTTAAGTATCAACCGCATCTATCTAGTTTCTCTAATAACAAGTCTATGACTTCCTATGCTTCCCCCAACTCACAAATGTTGTGGTTCTGAATTGAGCCAAATTAAAACAAGTAGAACCACAACATTTGTGGGTTTCACACAAGAGACTAGAGCATAGGAGGTTATAGACTTGGTATTAGGAAGAGAAACTGTATAAATGCGGTGGAGACTAGAGTTAATTGGCTAAGAGTAGACGTGTTTAATCATTGACGTAACCCATGAAGCAAAGGCATGACCATGAGAATTACTCGGCGTCTTTAGCCTCAAGTTGCCTTTCCATTAAACTTGAGAATGCTTATTTTTAGGGGTGCCATCAAAGGCTTGAGACAGTGTAGGAAATAACGCTTCTAGTAGTATAGATAGGGTGGAAGGGGTCGAGTGAAATACTTCAATCAGGAAAGTAGGAAGCGGAGCCTACGAGACAAAAGGAATACTCTGATAAGACCTATGGAAAGAGGACTGCGGAATAATATGGCAGACTCTGATCGTCACTCCCAGCACAAGGGTGAAGAGGGGTGAGAAAACCAGCGTGGGGTGAGGAGTCCTCATGGAATCCACTCAAAAGGACATACCATGTCACATTTACATAAAAAATTGTAATAGTGAAGGGGTGATACAAGGATATAGGATTGGTGATTAGCCCAGGGCGGAAAGAGAGATACCACGATTTTTTAGCAGACAATTGGTCAAAGGATTGGCTTCATTTGTCTCTTTAACTAGTTGTAGTGTGGTGCTAAGAATGGCAAGACTCAATGACGATGCCGGCGAAACGTGTGGGAATCTACCACATATACGGTCCGACTCTGGAAATTATCATGCATTCTATGGACTCCGAACTAGGTGCGCTCCTCTAGGTCTTCCTTCCAAGGTCAAACGACTTCCCTATACAGGCTTATTGATAATACATGGCATAATAATACAATTTAAGCTATTGACCTGTGGCCTCAGGCGTGTTGAGCACTGGCCCATTCACGATCCAGTTGTAGAGTGACTGAGACGAGCCTAATGCCTTCCCCATCGCCACCATCGGAGCATCTTCTGAAAATCCGATTATCTGCTTCGATGACCCTCCTAATGGCCAGGCTTCTGGTGCACCAGATACCGGATCACGAAATCCACGAGCTCCAACAGCTACTGATGATGATGCTATAGAGATCCCGGCGGCGCTAGATGCTGGCCACGCCAAATGAGCATGTCCAATGCGAACAAGTCGAAGCCCGCCGTCCGGAGACAGAAGACAGCAGAAGAAGCCGTCAGAAGAGATGCATGATAGATTTGAAGAAGAGGTTGAGGAAGCGGTTGCAGGGGCTATAGACTCTGCGCCAGCTTGATTCCCTTCAAAAGCATCAGGATAAAGCTGCTCATCCATCAGGCAACAGGTCCATTCAACATCTCTCGGGCGAGCCAGGTTGGCAGCCAGCTGATTCATCTGAACCAACGACTTGTAGCTAATCGTTCTGGCTGAGGGATAATTGAGGTGATAATAGCTGTAGAGCTGTGAGGATGGTGGTGGTTTAGTAGGAAACCGAGGCACCGAAGAGGAAGGAGAATGCATGGAGCAAACTGGTACCATCTAAGAGATTATGACAAAGGATAGGCAGAAAAAGTTTAAGAAAATCAAGGAAAATGAAAAGCAGGTGAGAAAGTAAGCTGAAGCATTCAAAAAATCATCGAGGGGTTCTGTCGATTATGGAGTCAACAAAGGAGTTGTATCGAAATAATTTATCTTATTTGACTTAAAATTTTAGTTAAAAACCCAATCATTTAAACTGAAGTTATCTCATAAAGTTGTAAGTCTATACACGTAAATAATAGTGCTGGCAAAAACATGCAGAAAAACTGGGTTTCTAAGAATTCCTTAATGAAATATTGTGGCATGACTCTCCATTTCGAAGGGAAAATTGGTTGGAATTAATTCGTGATGAAGGATCGCCGCGTGGTGAAAACCGTTGAATTGTGCGAAGGAGTCCTCGACTCGCCGTGCTACGACCCCGATGAAACTGTGCTGAGCTTTTGTCTGTATTGTGATAGCCATCACCAGAGCAGAAATCAACACTTCACGAAATAGAGCCAAAATATGCTAAATCAAGAGAAAAAGTGGCGGACTGCAACCCTAGTGGCTTTTTTAAAGACTTAATGAGGAACCCCATCATTTGTTTTGCTACTCCAATCTTACCCTACATCGAAGGTATGAAGAACAAGATGATGTGGCCTTTTGTGTGGTCGCAGTCTCCTTTCATTGTATAGAGGTTGTTTGACCTTGTTTTC